CCCCGCTGTGACGCCACACTTAGTCTCTTCCTTGCAAAAAAGCTGATCTAGTCCCTTTTCATTCTTGTTTTTCGAATGGAATGACCGTTTCAACATAGCCAGGATCAACCTGTCAGTGAGGTGAATTTGCCTAAGAGCCTCTGTGGAATATGTTCAAGCTAGAGCGTGTAGCATTTATAAACCAAACCTCCTTTGCTAGTAGGCATGAAGCACAGAGTGATAGACTGATGGAGTATGGTGACCACTTGAGCATTTGCCGCGGCTTTCGACATGTTCCATATTCAAAAAGGATTTTTAAACATTTTTAATCGGTATTACACACGTGATCAAATTCGACTAAATACGACTGATGGAAAGTGTCAGAAATCAGGTGTTTCGTACACTTTGCCCAGAAGAACGCTGAAATTAATCACTTTCGTCATCAACAGAAGGTGAAATCCTCAGGTTGAAGCCAGCCGCCCTAAACAGTACATTGTCAGCAGTGTATTTTTCCACCACAGATGAACTGATCCATAAATTGGAGCGGTTCCAAACATCCTGAATTGGTTGTTAAACCCACCTGTCTATCATGGCTCGTGCCGATGTTGGTAAACTGAGTGTATCATGGTGTTTATCGAATCACGGTGAAACATATACATACGGATGATGTGTAAATTGGGTGACACAAACGAATCGGCCCTCACTAAGTGACCACCATAAGATGGCTCAAGTCTCTCAAAAGCGACTGCAGAGTACATAGTAGCCAAATCACATCCTGACCTGGGTCCTATCAAGTTCTTTGTAGAATTTAACTCAACCTCGTCAGAAATCACACTACCTAAAAGGTTCTATTTTGAAGGTACGCGTGAATTTAAGTGCACATTTAAACTCCAGTCTTAAGTTGAGGAGCGAAGAGGTTCGAAATATTTGACAGAACTGCCTTCCAAACCAACCGTTCTAAAAAATTGACGGCCGTTCACAGTTCATCCAATCAATGGCGTTTCCGCAGTCAATGGATATTTTTTTCCATGTGCTGGGACTTATAACTGTTGGCTGCTTGCTTGGCAGATCTCTGTTATTTGCCTTGAGGAGGACAATATTCCATCGTTCATCTGGAATGAAGCCTTTCAGTATGCCCTCATTCAAACGAGTTATCAGACTACCAGCCAGGGATTCGCCAGCGTCACTCGCACAAAATGGGAGCTTTTGTCCTCTGACACACATTCCCTTCCAAATCAAGCGCCGTTTTGAAACCCACAAGGTTTACAACGGCTGCTAGCCGATCAGGGATGAATGCACTGAATGCTGACATACTAAGTCATTGCCTGAATTGTTCATGTACGGATGAGTGGTTTCTTTGTTAAGGCCTTTGAAGTGAGGCGGCTAATAAGAGAGCATTCTTCCTATGCTGCACAATGAAAAAAAGTGTTCCGCTGAAAAGAAATGATGAGGAGAATAACATGTTTCGCTTGACTTCTGACTACCATGCTTGGTATGTATGTTTAGTAATCTAAAACTTCGCCCATTATCTCCCTACAAGAGGGCCCCAACTAAACCTAAAATAATTATTTCCACTTATGGGGAAAAGTTGGTATAATTTCACTGACTTGACTGCTCACGGCAATTGTGTGCAAAATCGGTTCGTTTGTTTATCCGAATGAGATATTCTGGGTGCACGGCAAAATACAACGAACCATCCTCTAGCGCATCGAATCCCATCTGTCATCAAGTTTGAATCAGTACGGGATTCCCGGTAGCTATAAGTGCATTCCCTCTACTGATGATTAGAAAACATGCCTCGGATTGATGGTTTTTATTTGTTCTTCTGATGAGCTTGTGTCTAGAATTGCGCTCTACGTTAGCTTGCCTTGTACAAGGGTACCTTATGAGTACAGTACCTTCCAAGTTCTTCTTTACGACGCTTTTCCCCCATTAGGTCTGTCACTGTTCTCGTGCTAAACCAGATTTTAATTTTTCACGTCTCACTTGCATGTTATTCAGCGATGACCCTCGGAACACAGGTAGGCTTCAGGTTCAATTGCAACACTAAATACAGGTTAGTTTTTGGAAGTTGAGACCTGGAATCTTGATGGGCTTGACAAGCTTCACTCTCACGTTTATCTCACAACCACCTGGTTTAACGCACAAGACGCGGGCCGTGCGGCTCTCTGGAGAGACTTTGCTTGAAGCCGGGAGTCCGTAGGTTTGACCCACCTGTGAGTGGTGGCCGAAGGCCAAGAACTCTGAAGGTGAGGCACGCGTGTCTTAGTCCTAATATAGATGAGTCGCAACAGGTACTATCTATAATAGTGCAAAGTACGTGTATATTTTTACCCACAGAGTGATTGATGTATGTGCCAATGTCTCTCGTATCCTAGAGGCTGGACTGTTGCTCTTGTGCAAAAGTTAATCCAACATATAACCAGTATGTCAATATTGTCCCGATTTGAATATGCTTTTTTACATAACAGAAGAGTTTGCGTCGATTACTTGATTTTCGCAGCTGATATCAGTCCAGGGTGATGTTTAACCAGAAAATGAATAGTTCAAAGGGTGCCTACACCAGAACTTCCTGGGAGTGGTCAGAAACAAGCACAATTCGAGTGATTAAGCAGGCAAGCTTATGTGACAACAGCATCATGCACGCCGTTGGTTTTTGTTGGCTACAACAACCGGTTTTGAACGTAATAGTATCTGACTTGGTTCTGTTTTACATCGCCAACCAATTACGGTGGGATCTCAATAGCTCAGTCTGTACGAACCTCCACATTTGTTCAGTTCTAATGGCTTATTTTGTTAAAACAATCGGAAGACCTATGTATGTATGCATTGTGTCGTTTTTATGAGCCGCGTTCTCAATTAGATGGTCTGAAAAACATAATTTTGAGTAGCTGAATTTCAAGAAATTATTGCCGAAATATTTGTATACCGTAATATGTCTTCTCACCGTTTTCATGGGATGGATGAAGGAAACTGATCGGTCTTGCGTCTTGTGAACTCAATTAGAAGGATAAGAATAGGAAAAACCGCCCACCTTATCTTCTCTTGAGTATAAATAGTGTCCAATAGGGAAGTAGGCAGAACTCACAGGAACTGCACCCTGAAAGTGAGCAAAACTATCAACCAGGAGTAAGAACTGAAAGAAAGGAACATAATACAACTTTGTGGGAGCAAGTAACACCATTCACTATGCCCGAATTCTCGCACTCAGCCAGTTGAGGCGACTCAACTAAAGATGCTCAAGTATGGCACGGCCAGGGAAGAGTGCTCGTCTAGTGAGACTTTGAGAAGTGAGGGTAAGTGCATGTGAATATTTCGACCCCTGATGGATTTCAAGATGTATTACCTACCCACTGTACAAGCAATCTGAATCAAATAGGTTCAAATGGGAGCAAAAATGAGACGCAACCAGTTCCAATAGTTGTGTTTAGAACTTAAATATTTGACTTGAAGACCGTTGGGTTTTCACAAAAACTACTGGTGCTCCTCAGTGTATACCACCCATCTTCCAAAGGGACAACTTTTGGCAAGTCATTCGATCGTCCCCGTTTGGAGACGACTGTAATCCACAGATTGATGAGAAGCCGTAGGACTTCGTCCACTGAAAAGCCCTTCTGCTTGCTAAAGCCGATTTGGGGAAGACCGCAGCTTGAGTGGTTACAGTGTTTGGAAGGAGTGCTTTCATCTACAGGCAAGTATCCAAAAGAGATGATACCGTACCACTTCTGGAAAACTAACAAAACTCAAGCTACAGTCTTCCTCAAATCGGCTTAAGCAAGCAGAGTGGATTTTCAGTGAACGACGCCTAACGGTTTCTCATCATTCTGTGGATTACAGCTGTTTCTCAATAGGGACGACCCACAGGACTTGGCAAAAAAGGATTCATTCCAAACACTATCCACAGCAAGCGAATCACGCAACATTAAGTCACAGGTCATGGATGTAGGTCATCAGTGAACGACAATCGAACGTCAACAACCTAACGGGTAATGTTACTTACGCCCACCTTATCCACTTGCACCAAACTATGGTCTCGAATAATTCGAGCTGACAATGCTAACCTTGTCTAGTCACGGTGAAACCAAAAGATGAGTCCTAGAAACTTAGCTGTTTCGTTCATCCACATACCGTGCAACATCCACGGTCTTAAGATGCTCCAAAGAAAGTTGCTGACTGATGCTCACACCCCTGATTTCCCATTGCAATTCAGTGTGTTATAGCAATCTTAAACAACCCACAGACAGATCTACACCAAACTAAATTTTGACAGAGCACAAACGGAATGCATCATGCGCAAAAAGAATACCTGTTTCCCCAATTTACCCTCCTACTTCGACTATGGTTATTTGTTTTTACTTTTGTACTTATGTATATCTGACAAAGGCAAGCTTCAATATTTGTATCGCAATTTGTTGGCCCTCATCATAGCATAATAAGATTTGGGCTGTATTTCAGACAGTGAAACGTTGTGCAGTTGCTTACCGATCTTTGGCCCCTTCAACTAGTTTTCAGCTTAACCAAGCTCAAAGCAAGATAAATAACTACAAAGTAAGATGGCAAATATCCTGCTCTCCAGTCCTAGTGCCTTCAATCCGTTTGTGGAATGTTCCGAATTTGTCGATCTAGCCGCATCTACAAGAATCCACACTGATTTGATGGGGCAGCTTATAACCAGTGCTCATGGAATAAAGTTCCAAACATGACGGAGACGTAATGAATCTGGGCCAGTGGCACGCGGAGGTACTTCGGTAGTGTTTCTACTCTGGGAATAAGCAGTTAGGAGAAAAGGTGGCGTCTACTTAGCTCCTGGTTGGTTGTTGCCCCAAGGACTACTATAGTGGAAAAGAATTTCATGCAGTTAAAATGGTCCCCTCGACAATGATCTTTTCTTCTAAGTGTTTCCTATTAAACGGATTAAGGTACCGATTCTTTCTGTCATTTTAAGCTATCAGTATAATTCGCTTTCATCCCATAAGCTGCATCTTCACCACTACACTTAATTTCCTTTAACTGGCTCACAGTCAATCATTTGAATTCGATGCTGAAAGAATTCCGCAATTTGCGAAGTCGTGATGAATCCATGTGCAGTCCGCACAGTCCACATCCTGTGATCGCACTGGCCTTGGTAAACAAACTGAAGGTCGGGTAAGTTGTATACACCACATTCACACAGTGAAAGTGAAGCGTTTGTAATAGTGTACCTCCGTTCCTAGATTTTGTTTGAGGTGAACACCAGCTTATCTGTATTCCCGTTGTTGCGAAATGAACCATTTTTCATCAAAATACCAGTGTCCTCATTGTGGAGTATGAAGACCGGATCATTCAAAAATGTCTTGGCCTGTCAAAGATTCGAAAATTCATCTGCACTTTGGTCAACTTTTTTATCAACTTTATCACAACAAATTCCTCTTCATCCGACGTATTTCCATTCTCTGCTCCGCATTTCTATCCTCAAGACTAATATAGACCACCAACAAAGGTCGCCGTGAAGTTATATTACGTTTGTTCCGTAGTGGAAGAAAGCATACACCTCGTCAAAGTCACTCCTCATTTCTCTCATCATCATCATTGTCAGCTGTAATAACCGCGTACTTGTCCTACAGCGGTTGTAGCTTCCACAGTTTCGTTCACCGATGATTCGGGTAGGTGGGGTGGGTAGCTGCGCATTGGAGATGGGAGTTCATAAATTAGTGCGTAAATACAGCACTGTCAGTGGACTGTTAAGTGGGGGATTGGGAAGGAAGCTATGCACTGAAGATAATAGTTCAGATGCACGAGCGCCACTGAGGGCGCGACTAGGTCATGTCTGACAATGTCTCTAACCATTGATGTGGCCCATCTCGAGGTCCCCATCCAGGAAGATGGCAATGACCAGCGCAGCTGAGTTTGCCCGTAATAGTCTTCACACTCCGCTTTTGATTCATCGTTTGACCGCCTCTGGTTCTCTTCCAGAGCCTTCTGTCATAACGCCATTAACTTATTTTTTTATTACGTCTTATTCCACCACGCCATGTTACAACTTTGGAAGTTTTCATGATTGTCGATTATATTTACAAATCTGGTGGCATCTACCATCTTGAAAATTTGCCATTATTAGCTCGTGATCACTAAGCAAATATATGTCGTATATATCTATAGACACAAGCCACAAGCTACTTTACTCTTTCATTTATGTCTTATATTCATCGACTAATTTCGACCTACGTAGACCTGCAATCAGTCAAAATAGTGCCAAATCTGGTGTACTTATTCATCGTTTAGCTGCTGGTTTTTAGTTTGCAAACTGTTTTCGTCAGTACTTGATGGAACAACATATCGATGGGCCTTTCACTCTTCCCCACACGTGATTACGTGCTTTTCAAGGAATTTTTAAGCTTGTTAATCTGATAGGTTGACTGCTGGTCTATTCGCCGAGCCTGCAAGCCGGATTGCAAGCGTTTCCTCACCAGTCGAGGTGACATCGCCAGTGCGGTTTTTGATTGCTTGTAGAACGACTTTCCCTATTTCTATCTGTCCTCTCGTGATTTGCGTTGCACTGTGGTTTGGCTTTCCTGATCTGGTCACAATCCGTTAGTATTGGCAGCTTTTTCTCACTGACAAGTCCTCGGATGGTGATCAAAGCCGGAAAACTAAGTAAATTCAGAAGATGTGTAATCAAAAATCACTAATTACGTGCAATAACTAACCAATCAAAACGTACAAGGATACGAGGATATGTAAAGCAAAACGATCTTGTGGGAACACTTGTCCTGTCCCTTTTCAGTCCAGTTTCTGGCATCACTATGAGTATCGCAACAGCAAGACAAGTTCTGATATATATCGAATTTTATTCAAGCTGATATCTGTCATAGCATGAAGCATCCTAAAATTTCGCGATAGGCAATTGAGAATCTAATGTATTATCCAGAATTTCATCAAGAAGCATTTCCACTGAGATGCCTCCTTGAGAATTTTGGGAACCACAAATTCCCTTCTATGTGACCACGAAAAGTTTAGTTTTTTGGTATCGGAGTGCAGGTGGGAACCTACTTGTTACCATATTTGTCTTTTCTAAACACCTCAGCTGCTCGTGGTGGACCTGAATAAAGTCTTCATGACTGCATGATGCCCCCAGGGACTGAGCAACATCAAACGACGGAGTTCGGTGTGCACTGACGTCGTATCCACTGTGTCCGACAAAGAACGTTGTTCACACAATCCTGTCATTGTCGAAATTGACAGGATGCTGTGTTCTTGAGAAAATCTCTCCTAATAAAATCCCAAGTCAGTCGAATAGTAAACCCATTCTGTCAATCACTCGAGGAATTGTAGTGCGTGTTCTAGCATTTAAACACCTTTGAAATCCCAAATCAGTGGGAGCGTTTCCATAAAGTAGGAGCACGTATTCGACAATTTGTGCAGCATTCAAAGTTGAAATTTAGATCTTTTCTGGATAGTCAGTATCACATAGCCCATGTGGCACGCGAATTACCACTTTAGACTTGGATGTAAGGAATTCTCGAGGTGACATTCTTTTCAGAAGGCTCACACACTAAATCTTTTTAGGTGGGAATTTTAAGTATTCTCGATGGACGTGGTCACCATTCTGAGAGTACTGTCTTGACGATGAACGGTACGAGAAGTTTCATTACTTTACAGAGTGTTCACTAACGACAATGATCCTCCTATCCTCTTACGATATGTGATAGGATGACGTTGTATTCGGTGTCTGAGAGCTTTCAGAACCACTCAACTACACAAAAATCTAGAAAGTCCCTCAAACTAGGTAGCTGACCTTCAAACTTGGCCGCTTTTTTCTGTTGGACTAAATTATACATTGGTGTGTAACTTGCAGAGTTTTCATATCTCGCTAAGCTGTCAAAATAGACTTCAGTTTATCCTCCTGACTCTATATTACGGAGGCACTAGCCTCCTTTTTGAGGATTTACTGTAGCACTTAAGGCTACAAGTCACGCTTGGAAACTCAAACTACACGGAAAACAAACTTGTGAGGGTTTCGACTGGTCACGTGCGGAGTCTATGTCGTAATGAGGGGAAACTGAAAACACGAAGTGTGAATTCCTGTCTGTATTCGTAAGGGGAATTTCTAATAGAAGCCAAGAGCCGTGTTTTTTGAAAATGTTAGCCTGCCTCTCAAAAGTGCCAGATAACGGGAGCGACATGGTCTACAGTGCAGGAATAGTTTCATTAAGGCGAGGGTATGATTAATGGCCGGTATCCGAATTCCTGTCAAAACTGGTCAAGCCAATAGAGGCCTGCACATAGTGAGAAGTGACGGACGGTCTGCCCCGAGCCTAATGGTGCTTACACATAAGCCTCTAGCGCCGATGTCGTTTCAAGAATATCAATCCGGTGATCGAACGTGCAGAGTCCCATCACAAGCCAAAAGTCAGCCCTAACATGATGGCATAACAATGGATACCGGCACCAGGTACCTATTCGGAAACGAAGCACCGACTCTATCCATCGATTCCTTAGAGCTTCAGTATAATATAGCACCAGATTCAGGATGGCATCATTCAAGCGTTACCGAGAGCCATCCATTAACACTCCATCTAGGTAGTATTGGATAACCAGGCGGTGTTCCATTTACCACGCTGCTAATGTTTTTGTGACCACCAGCATGTGAGTTTCAGCCGGAAAGTTATTATAAAATGGAAAATGAAGGAATTACTTTATATGATATAGTATGGTATAAAATTATACATATATAATATTGATGTGATGCACCCTGGTCTGTTCGTCATTTGGGATAACTCGACAATCATGAGCAAGTTTTGGCACCGGACATTATGAATACTATCACGTCAGATCATCCATTATTCCCTACTTTGTGGTTTACCCGATCCTTGGCTGTCTCAGCCTTAAAATCTGTCAAGCGCTTGGTTATTCGGAGATTACACTGCCTTAACAGTAACTGAACACTATCACTGGTGGTAACACTAAACGAATAAAGAGAAAAATCAGCTAACTGCCCTTTATGAAGATTCACGAAAGAAGGTGAATTTTGATCATGATATGTCCACTAACTTTCCTGAGTTTTTGTGCAAGAGCTTTATACAACGAATAACCCCCGAAACTCCACCGAGCCTTCAGGTCTTCAAAGTAACACTCCCGGATCAACTAGATAAACGCCACTGATCTAAATTTTGTAAGTGGTCTTCTCAGTAATATGCCATTTCGCTGAAGAACCCTGGGGAATATATTGTTAGATGCTCTTTTCAGCAGCTGCAAGTATAGACTTTTATGTCCATAAACGATATCCCACGTTTCTTTCTGCTCGAGAGTTTGTGAGCTAAGAACATTGATGTATAGACGAACTTTTTATCGGCAGGGTCTTTTCAAGTCACGCAATAATCTCCAACCTGGCCGGCCATTGCACCTGTCAGCAATCTCTCCTTCCGATGAACAGACGGAATGTTTCGCTAACTAACCATGAATTCTCACAAATGACCCATAGGCTTATAAGTTGACTAAACGCCAACCCCAAAACATAGTCAGATCCCGAAAATTTACGGCTGCCAGGGGCTTCCTTGAAATTGTTTACCAGGCACGTAAACAGAGTAAGCTCTTTGTTAGGATCAAGACACAAATGTATAATTTTCCCCTAACTTGCTTGTTTTAGAAATGAAAACCCCGATCGCCTACTGAGCTATGCTTCGATATTCACTTACTACTTGTTTAACGAGTGGAATCTTCCATCTACCTGTCATACGGGATCAGACAAGGTTATCATATTCTACTCGAAGGACGATGGTGTGGTAAGTTTCTGGAGAGTCGCCTCTGCTGTGAATATATTCCTAGATATCATAGTGCATTTTGGGGTAGGATGTTCATAAAGGCCACTACGTACAAACCCAAGGGAAGCTTCTCCGAGACTCGAGATGGCTTGGTATTTAAGGTGCGAATTTGCTGACCGGAATGTCCGTATTTCGAAATCAGCCGCAGCATACAGACTGCTCCTATATAGGCTTGGGCAAGCTTACAATGTATCAGCCCTCGTACGTTCTTCGGGTTGCATGACAGCTATGCGACGAAAGGGTGTTACAGCTGCACGTTCTTTTATTTTCACCCGAAGACAACTCACTCCCCTAACGAATACGCAACAAATCCTTCCTTGCAGTCGTGAGCTGAACTTTTTCGAATTATTAGAATAGAAACCGTACCACTGTGTTACTAGTCCAATGGTTTATAACCATAGTCTTGTTATAAACTGAGTTTGTGTAAGTCCATGAAGTGTAAGCGAATTCTACATAAGCATGCGCCTACAATTCTGAGTATCCAGTCGGAAAAGTGTTGTGAACTTTCTGTAACAGATAACGTTTCTCGGAGTCGTCAGCATTTGTTCAGAAAATAACATCCCACAGTTTATTGAGTAGTAGTGTTATGACAGTATTCCGAATAGACTGTCATCCAGAATTTGTTTCAGCCTATTCACAAACTTTCACTTCCGTATCCCTCCATGATGCCGGAAACATTTTGATTTTTAACCGGAACGGAACTCAGATGAGAGACGTTTCGGAACTTTTATATACCTTGGGTGCTCCTGCAGTATGTGGCGTTTTCGTTAAGCTCTGACACTAGCATCTCGATCGTTGACCGAATTAAACATTGGTGGCAATAAGTTCTCAACGAAAGAGAAATACACATTGGCTGTAAGAGTCTTCATGCTGTCCCAATTGCCAAGATCAGATTGTGTCACGGATAACAGTCTCATTCTGAGTAATTAAAATGCTGACCGCTCTGCTTTAATGAAAACGACTTCGATATGAGCAGATCACGTGATGTTGCTATTGTGAGGTTACTCCGAATTACTTCACGGCGCCTGCATTCGGATGGGAGGTATATTTGTCAAAGTGAGATGGCAGGTCACATGTAGAATTAAATACACGTAACGATGACGGTTACCTTGGTAAAAGATGGAATCCGCGAAAAACTACAAACCGTTTGATTGTTGTCATCACCTGTTGAATGATGGTATATTTGCTAATTCTTGAAGACTAGATTCAATATCCGGTTTCAAAGGCCGAGTTGTGTCTAGGAGATGGCGATACTAAGCCTGAAACGTGATCAGAATTATGAAGTGGAGTCTAAGTATTTCACTGGCTCTGGAAGTAAAATCAACTATTGATTGCGGACACTTTAAATCTAGAGGCACTATATTCATCAAGTTAATCGAAAACGAGGAACATCACAAATGTGATGGGTCGATGTTTCTCAACCGTTTGCTGAGTCCTTGGTTCGTTGAAACGATGACCGTACTTCCTCTAAGTCGGGATAATTTTTTTCTCGCTAAGACCGAATAGCCGGTCAGTTTCGAGAGGTGAGTTCTCCAGCTCAACCACTTGAGAGAGTAACGTGGATTTAGTTTTTAAATTGCCGACAGAGTTATTTCGTTGTCAACAGGTTTCGGTGAACGAAGGACATATATGAACCTTTTTCCCTTTTACTACATTGACCCCAAAATTATGCCATCTCCGTAGCTCATAAGTAAACAATTTCGTGCTATGGAAAGCGTTTCTTTTGGTCCCTCGGTTCAAACCCTTTTTCGGCTGCTGGTGAACAGCGATCAAGCGAAGCATTTTTATCTCCTGATAAGATTAGGACATCGATTTTTGTAAGAATCCTAGCTCATTAGATAATACGGTTTTTGCCATACCATGGTTTATTATAACTTTAATTTTGGTATTTATCCGAGTTTATAAGTAGACTGACAATAAGTAAGTCAAAGCCCTGGTGGAAAAAATGACAAATATCACACAGCCTCTTACGCAGTACTTCCGTCAATATCTCAGCTGCAGTAGAAGAACTGAATCTCATGGCACATGGAGCATTCTTCTTTCTTCTTATTTGTTCAAGAGCAAGTCTGCAAGGAATTGTGCCTTGTGTGCACCTTTGCCAACAACTTTTCCCCGACCGATTCCGGTTCTCTCGTATTCTTGCGTTCAACACGAACAACAAAAACCTGTTCACAAGCCGAAAACAGTAGGGCGACTTGCTCAACGTCCTAACTTATTCTGTATGTTGTTTCCAAGGAGATCATCATCCGCTTGACTGAGGGAAGCCTCAATGGGGTTGTACGTTGGGTCTGCTGGAATCCGTCTTCAATAAACCCCCTGACACTAGTATCCAGGACTGTACCCTGGACACCTCCTATGGAGAGCAGAGCATTTAAAAGTAAAATACTATCAAAACCCGGCAAATTTTCCACAATTTGCGCACTTGAAGGATAATGTGAACTCTCAATCTAATGTATGAGGTACAGTTTGGCTTCAGAAATGCCATTCGGCAATTACGCACTTGTGCATCGCTTTGCCCCACGATGTTGCACTGATAATGTTACCTCGATTGGTGGCGAAATGTTTGCAACACAACTGTCACGCTCATGGAATAACCCAACCAGAAACAGAACTCGAAAGGTTCAGACAGCTGACGTAGCTCACAGGCAATTGTAGGACTTGTGGAATTTATACTCATACAACTAGCTTGCAGTCTTCTTGTCCTGGTCCATTTATTCGGGTTTGTCAATACGAAGCCAGATATTATCATAATCGAGTTTTGTTCCCACGAGACTCCAACACCACTGCACACCTTCAGCGTGACACCCAAAATCGCCTAACTTTGTCGCGAAACAGAATTGGTAGGTGAAATTCCGGGTGTCGAATAAAGCACGAGGACGGCTTGTGTACTACTGCCGGAAGGGATGGAACTTAAGCTAGAGAACCAGCTGACTACCTCACTCAGTACAGAGTGTCAACTGCAGGAGACAAAAACTGTAAACCGTGCTAGTTGAACCGGCGATCATCAGCGGATATCTACAATTCCATGCACCAACTGCACTACAATAAGGCATCTGGCTGGCTGTTTATTAGTTCAGTCTGCGTGCCTAATTTAAGGAACTTTGGCTGATGCAGGCAGCGCTGGAGTAGCTGAGCTCCCACGTTACGGTATTCAGACCAGATGATGCGCGTTATATGCTCCGTAGCTTTGCTCAGACGGCGGTCGTTCCCTCACCATTTTTTAACAAGCTGCGCCAAACACAGCACAAGTAGCTGTTGCGACTGACTAGATGGGCTACACAAGGTCGGTTGATGATGATCGGGGCGACAAACCGATGGCTACTATACACATCAACAGGTATGCGATTAACAGCAATATAATGAACATCTGAAAAGTCCCCTTAGATCGACTTCTGTCACACCCTTTTCCATCCCCTACAAAAGCCGCTAGAAGCACCCACAGACAGCTACAGTTTTACTAACCAGTTTCAAGCGCTCCTCCCAGAATGAAATATCCCGAAATATTCTGATGTTAACCGAAAGTGTTGTCTAGTGATAGGTGGGATCTTCTGTTTCCAGCGCTTCCATAACATTAAAAAAGTAGTGTATCGTGAAACATCCGTACGTAAAATTTCAGCTCGTGTATTTTAAGGATCCAAGACTTGAGTCTCTTTTTTCGGCTGAACACCTTTACATCAATAACAAATACAAAGTGCACTGACTCCCCTACACTAGAGACAGTGTGGGACAGTGCACTGTGGGAGCGGACAAAAGTCGTGCCCATCTCGGAAGCGTGTTCCTGCCTGAGAAAAGGATGAGGTTTGACCAGTACGCATTCGATTGTTGCAATCTTGCACCAGGAGACCAGGTGTGAGGCATAAGTGGTAACATTACCCTAAAAAGCTTGTCGTTTGAACTTTGCGACGAGTTTTATATGCCTCCCCCCAACAGCCACCCTGGCTGACAAACGTCTTCCCATCGACCACGCAAGCGTCAACGATTTCTTCATGTATTCATCCGCGTGTTATTGGTAGGATTCCTACACAGTGCTGGACATAGAATGGACTTTGGAGATGGCTCAAAGGTAGACTATAAACGGTTGATCACTAGTCATCAATTTTAGATGATTCGATTTGACATTACACCGCAGTTGTTTCAAGTCTCAGGTCTCGTAACTAGTGAAATGGCTGTGATCTGTGCGCTGACTATTCCTTCGAAACGTTGCGCGAAGTTTGCAGACTGACTGAGTTCGGCGAGCAAGCCAAACTAATAGGTGCATAACGCTCCTGAAATCATGAATTTATTCAGCACGTGGTCCTAATTAAGATAGGCCCAAAAGCAGATCTATTAACTATATCGAAAGCGGCATTAATGTCGAAGTGGACACCGCCACAATTTGTTCTGATATGAATTGGCTGAATGCAACTGCGTCCTCTGCGGAAGCCAGCTTGCTGTACGCAGCAGGCCAGCTCGTGTGCCACATACGGCCTTCGGAAAATGATAAGTAGTGAAACCTTGAAAGAAAACCATGGTGGTTTGAAAACTCCGTTCTCCGACCTTTCTTTAATATCGGGATAGCTGGCAACCTTGGCCAAGAGATCAGTACACATTATTGGGTCTAAGTTTATTCAAACAGGTCAATCGACCCACTGAACGAAACGATTCTAACTTGAAGTTCGGCTTGCCCAGGAGAATCGTCATCACTGAGAGAAAGCATGGCTAAACGGATTTTTTCCTCAGTGGGTGCAGAATTTCGGACAGTTCAGAGGATTAAATTAAGTGGTTGACCAGCTGAGCACATGAGGTTAACCAGTTTGAGAGTGACTTGAAATTTTCTGCTGAGCAGTCCATTCACGAACATTTTGGACAACGGTGTTTTTCAGGGACCAATATTTTGATCATATGAGAAAACATGTCAACAGTTTCACCTCCCCAGGCTAGCTTCGTTTCTTTTGCCTAGTTGTCACTAAGTTCCGTCAGATAATTGGTGCCTGATTCACTGTCGTGTGGTACTCTGACCACGGTTAGGATGGATGGATCTACGAAGATTCACTTGCTGAGTGGACCTGTGGGAAATAGACGGATTGAAGTCATTGCTGGTGGGTTCGTAGGTGACAGTTGCAGTTCCATCAATGGCGCGCTCATTACGGCAGCGAGAGCTCACAGATAAACGCTAAAATTGATATTAGTAGTCTAAAATCGAGTTCGCTTTCGGAAAACTGCTGAAACAGGTGATTGAGTTCACCTGACGTCAGATTTCACAGTTCTGGTTGTTCGCTTTCCAAAGAAACGTATACACAGCAATAAGTGATCAGGTTCCAAAGTTGTGTCCCAGGAGCCCGGAAGAAAACCTATCGGCCAATAGCTGATGTCTTGTAATTGATCTTTTCCAAATTCTGACGTGCAGGTAGGTATCAGGCTGCCAAAAAGCACTCAGGATAACGAAATTTTTGATAGGCCGGAAACAACACAAAGCAAGCGGACAGTCATTTGTCGAAACTTTATAAACTCTCGGGACATCTCGTATGATGAAAGGCGCTCGAATCGCGTACGCGGACTCGGCGCCGAGAGCTAGATAGCAAGCCATCAAACCGACTGTAGAAATTATTTTTGATGGAATCGGGGTTGTAATCCATTGGCAACTACACGGAGAAAAGCAGTGTTTAATGGATAGGACTTTATCTCGGTTGACCCATATTCCGATGGTGAAGTCTATTGTTGAATGATATCCACTCCAGAACAGCGGGTTTGGCAACGCTTACTGAAGACTAGACCCACACCTGTAGGACCACTTGAAGAGGCTTCTCGGTCTCTGGATAAACGCGAGCAGAAGACATAGCCACAATACGGAGAGTTTACTTTAGTTGGGGCTGATTCGAATCAGTTGAGTAACAATCAAGATATAATCCATGCATAGCACGAACCAAGGCTATCCATCGTCCGTCGTGTGCGTGTGCGAAGGCTGGAGGATGCGTTATGGGGGGTTGAGAAAATTGGTGGGTTCATTTTATCTGTTGCTGTGGATATGTGTGACTGGAGGTTTGAAACTTCTCTGAGTAGAACTGGAGACAGAAAATGGTTAATAAAAACGCGTATTGTTTGTCGACGGAAGTAAGGATCAGCGTCTTTTTATTCCATCATAGTTTGTGTGGGAGCCTTATCAGGAGCCCCTGAGTGAAAAAAACTTATATGCGGCTGGGCGAATAATGGAGTCCTCTCCTACGCGGCCCAGATGGAATGAGGACATCTAAAGTGCCTAATGCACCTCACGAATGTGTGAGGTGGGTTCTAAGTAGACCCAGTAAAACGGGGCCCCACATGGTAGCATGCCATCTCTCGTGGAAAAGCAGGCGATGACTCGAAAAGACAGGACCACTAACGCGCTCACGTGCAGACCTTACATCCTGGTGAGAGTAAAAATGATCAGTGTTTCTTTTGGTGAGGCACACCGGCTTGACACCATACCAACATTTAGAATTCCCGACTTTTTTAAGGAAACTGTTGATAAAGGTAGCACCACTGCGAGCTGATAATATGGCAGGACGTTCTTTTCACGCTGACCTTAGGAACTGTCTTTTTCCACATTAAAAATTACCTCGAGTATGTATCACAACAGCCGCGGCCACCGGCTTAACCGGAGTAGAACAAACGGTCGCTTAAATTCTCATTCACCATGTTATTACCCCAAGAATAAGTAAAATACTAGTTCAGCCGTAACACCCCTCCGGTTCACAGTTGTGATGCCTGGAAGAATCGCGAGGGGCGAGATAGTCAGGTTGTTCAAGCCCAAATAGGTGCAGCCTAGATGCCAGAGTAGGACCTTCCATTCAGTACGTTTGCGCCTTAACCATTGAGCTACCCCAATAATTGTTATCTGCCGATTCTGAATACCTGCCTGTTTCGAACACATTAGTGGACGAGGAGGCATTCATTACCCATAAAATGCAGCCAAAAGCTGTTCTGTTTAATCCAGGTTGAGAGTTCTTAGGAATCCGACATTCAACGCGTACTGCAAATGTAGCGTTCTAGCCGATTGAATCTAGATTGATAGGACGGATTTGAAAATGCAGATGAGACGTATCATCGCCAACAGTTAAGGTAATCTCATCGTACTGACGTAGACACTGTTATTCAAGCGGCGCGACACCACTTATATTCTAGCACTTAGCACCAAGCGATTCAGTACTACCGTTGTTAAAGTATAGATGGGGATATTTAGTAGGCCACATCCACCTGACACTCCGGACCCTATTACGACCCGCATACGGACTTTAAGCCTCGCCGACAGTCAGCGATCTTACGGTCACGCCGATGAAGCAGCCTCTTTGTATGTCGCATCTTGTCATACAATCAGATTTTGCCTATTCCATCTGCCGGAACAATGACGATAACCGTCTGCTGGCTTTTCTTTGTTCCAAATACTCGGTTAGTCAGATGGTAATCTTTCGCACGAACGAGGGCTTCAGTTTAACGAACTAGCGATTGCTGACCGACAATACGCACAATATAATGCCCAGATCCGCTGTTACCTTAACTGAAAAACTATCCACATGGAGAACTATTCGAAAATCTAATATGACCTTGGACACGGACCAACCAGAAGACGTCTGAAAATGCCCGTAATATTCATTCTGTTCTCATTTTTACTGAACGGGATGAGATCTGTTCGGGAGTTCTCTATCCCCTTCAGTTCAAGGGAAATTGTGACGGCAAATCGTATGTTTATGCAGGTTTTCTATATTCACAGGTGCTTTACAAAGAAAGCGTTCCTCAAATCCATCGCTATCACGCCAATTTAATTCTAGTTGTCAATGGCTAAAACTGACAGGCAGACCTATTTTATCTGGGTGCGTGGATCTTGAACCACCAGAATCTTGCGCCGATGTTCACTAAAAATCAAGCACATCCTGCGAGACATGGAAAGCTGCCTTCGTGGCGACATGTTAAGATAAACTCCATTCGCTCGCCCTGATTGATTGACATTCTGCTTGTATCTTCACTTAACTGCATTTGTGATAACCTAGTCCGGTATGAGAACGTTTATAGCGAGACCGGCACTCCGGTCAACCGTGTTTCGCATGGGTGATAAAACTGTGTGCACAATCATGCACACACACACGCACTTTGGCAATGCCAACTGTGCCGGCCGCAATACATTGGAGCTATGCGCGTAGGCTGTTCAGATTCCGATAAGGTCACAAATTCACGGCGAGAGACAAACTCCGTGCCAAAAGGTAAAACGATGAAAATCGTACGGAGCCAGTAATAACCTTACGAAGACCTGGTTATGCTTCCGGTTTATAAGAACTGGTGTATGAAGAGACGTTGGTCAGTAAACCAAATAAACTCCCAGCAGATGCGATGAATGACAATTTCACCTACTTCCAGCCAATAAAGCACATTCTGCTGGTCAATTTTATGGTCCATTTCAGATTTACACGTTTGCGGGCAATTTGTTGGAGCGCAAGCTACCATCACAACGGATAATCGATTTTGCGGTTGAATCCCGGATACATTTTTCGAATGGAATCGCTGCGGGACTTGGATTCCTAATTCAAAGATATCGGTAAGTAACTGTTACTGGATTTCTCCCAGGGACGGAAAATAGAATGCTAACCTATACTCAAGATTCAATCTCAATCTGCGGATGCCCAGAAATCAAATAGTTTACACTCAATATTGAGGTAACCGTGAAGGGATCGATTCGCAACCGACGGGACAACGTGTTAAGGCCACTTCAGAGAGGCTGGACCTTGTCCTTATCATCACCATCGAAAACAAAACATCAGCAGTATACTCTACTACTTAATTGTCATGAAACAATGAGGAAGGAATACAGTAGTAAGGGACTGTAATAAAGAAAAACGTCCTTTGCGAGCTTGATCCAACATGTGCCCAGCAAAACCTCGTTCAGCTTTATCACCCATTCGATGCCCATCTGCCATGCCACCCAAAGGAAGCACAACTATAACGAAAGGGCTTAAGTCTATTACGATGCACGCGTCTGAAACTAAAAGTGTCGCTAAAATGAACGACTAGACTATCCCTAACGATACTTGACTCACCTTAACCGAGACCAGTACTATACTGTACATAGAAGGATTGAAAAAAGCTCATGGAGACGATTCGCGGAACAGGAAGCTAAAAGACCCTAATTTGCAAATCAATTCGGTTTTCACGAGAAATTCAACTGAATCTCGCGTTTATCATATTCTACAACTGAATGTGCTGCACGCAGACAGCCTCATGATTTAGTTGGCACGATATTCGAGATATCGCAGTATATTTTCATAAAGGATACTACTCACAAGGTTGCTGAAAACCAAATTGATTTGCAAATGAGTGTATTTCTCGAAAACAGTCCCATTTGGGTTCAAGTAGAACATAAGGTTGACAGAAACTCGGGGACTGCGCCTACTTGGTGAGCCCCAAGGAGGGCGAAACCGGTCGTGGGCTGTCGAAGAGTTTTCAGCAACCTTCTGAGTAGTTTCCTTTATGAAGCTAGAAGACTACCTAGTGGTTTCATCTAATTTCAATAAGTAGTCCTTAAACTAGGCCTTCCTTCGGTCCCGATTCCGACAATTTACACTAGAAAAACCGGCGATAAAATACTCTTCTTGAACTCACCAAGAATTATGACTGTGAAGAAAAGTATGAGCAAAGAAACATTATTCGCAATTTAAGTAAATCCACAGAAGTGGTGTTAAGCCTCGTGATTCACGGCGGAACTCTAGTTTGTCCTCAGGATTTTCACCAGGTAGTGAAAGTACTGACACATGTTGTATATAACATGTAGTTTATTGAAAAAACACTTGGAGCTGGTTTAAAAAATACTGTTAACAGACGAACAAATTGAGACGAAAGTGGAATAGCCTCTGAGACCACGTTGCAAAGGTTCCACAGTCTAGACTCGCCGATATGCAACTCCTCAGATTACTGCGAAGCCTGTGACTACAGAGCCGTGCAGATGGGGTACACCAAAAAACATTTCACTGTATCATGTATGAAGATATAGCTGCTAAACCACTGGCACCGCAACACACTTGTGACGAACTGGCAGTTACCTTTTCAGCAGCCCGAAAAAATAGTACAGCCGAGGATTCCATGGATCAGGAAACCAGCTACTTAAACTACCACAGCCAGAGTGGATATACCTTATTTCTTGCGATTCTTAGGAAAATACATAGAACAAATATTTATAGCTAACCTGAGAGGGTTAAAAACACGTTCTTTAGAAGCGTGGGACGAAAGCTGTTTTCGAGCTCATCAGGTGGGCGCAGTCTTCGACTTACCGTCAACCTTACGTACTGCTTGAACCTAAATTACACGAATTTGGGTTCAAGAAGGGGCGGGATGGCTCAAGTGTCTAGAGCGTGGATCTACTGACCGGAAGGTCCGTGGTTCGCATCCGACCTCTACCTCTCGACTTCCTCCGTCTAGGCTTGGGCAACCTGGCAGTATCTAAGCCCTCGTGCTTCCTTCGGGTTGCAAGGCAGCTAGGCACCAAAAGGGTGTTACAGCTGAACAGACTGCACGAAATTAGCGAAATACACTTACTTGCAAACCAATTTGGTTCTGCAGAAGACTCACCTGGAATCCAGCTGGATCTATCGTTTATTACGTTTTTTTTTAAATGAATGTGCCGCACTAGACCACCTCATTTTTCAATTGGTACGATACGCCAGTATGTCAATACATCTATCAGACACGACACATTACTCACAAGGTCGCTGAAACCGCTTCGACAGCCCACGACCGACTTCAGCCTTGTTGGTAGTTGCAGTTCCCGAGTTTCCGCCAACCTTTTGTTGAACCCAGGTGGCACGAAATTCGACGAATACACTCATTTGCATACCAATTAGGTTTTTACGGAAGCTCACTAAAATCCCGGGCGAGTCTGTCGTTTATGATCTCTGTGCTCAGGCAGAACATAAGGCTGACGAAAACTCGGGGACCACGACTGCCTGATGAGACTCAACAACAGTGATGTCCGTCGTGGGCTGTCGAAGAGTTTTCAGAAACATTATGAATATTGTGTTAAGTTCTTACGTTGTGCCGCCTTTGCAACCCAGTTTTTGTGCGAAATTTCGCAATATTTCAACTCAGCCACTCAACGGCTAATAAGGAAATTCACGTAGCTTACAGAGGTCTCAGTTTCAAGGAAAAGTCCATGAGCTAGTGATAACTTATACTCGAATACGACAAGATACAAACGTTTGAAATGCAAAATTCAAGACAAGGTGAACTTCGGCATCTGTGCTGACCTCTTCGTTAGAGAAGATGCTTCAGCCAATATAGCATCAGAATTACCCTCCTATACGAGTGGTGGGTGTGAAAAACCAACAGCGCAGATCTCACGGAAGGCTGCCTTCAACAACAACCGTTGAATATCAGTAATTGATCTGGTTCCACTACGCTATGTCTGGTCTGACGTTTGTCAGATGATGCCGTCAACTGAGGTTATCAGTATTGTGACTGTTGCAGCTGAAAGACACATGACTACACCATCACGTAAATTAGCTTCCTAGCACTGTCATGAGCATGGAAAAAAGAAGCGTGGAATCTGACAGATATTCCTGGCGAGGAAGAAGTGACCCACCGGAGTGAAATAACCAAGGTGTAGAAGTAACAATCCACCTCATCGAATCCCATAGTAAATTCATACAGACCGAGAAACTCGGACAAATTTGTGAATCCTTTCAAAACTGACCCATCTATATTTTTTGAACAAACGGCAATCGAAAGTTGTCGTCAGCGCACTGAACTTTCTTCAGATGTGAGTTGCCACATTTTGATCGGCCTCATAGAGGGCCACTGCATGATAATATTTGGACGTTATTTGAATATAATATATATAATAATAATAATAATATAATAATAAATATAATATATAATAATATATAAGTTGCTAACATATTCGCTCTTTGTTTCCAACTTCAGAGAGGCTGTTACGAGCGGAAGGACAGATTTATTCCGTCGACCATAATAGATCATCTACAAACGCAGTTACTGCTTCATAATCGAGTTTGGGTGATTTTTGCGTGCAGATTTCATCACTTCGTAGCTTCTACTGACGCCTGGACCCAACCAACTCTCATGTTATTTACTCTTAGCGTCAAATGAAAATACAGGTTCATTCTTTTTCCGCCTCGGGTTTGTTGTGGATCACACTGATACCATTTATGGGAAACGGGCGGCCTTATTGCGACCAAACGTATACGTTCACATGCAGCTAGAGAGTCCGCGGTGGATGACGCCGCGATTTGCTTTCGATCAACACAAGACTAAAAGCAGGCGAGTCGACATCCGTTATGACCCTGTTTATTTTCTGATCCAGATGCACTTCAGCGCCATAGCTTCAAAAGGCGATGGATAAGCCCTAACACATCAAAGTATGAACATTCAAGAATAGGTGCAGGTTGACTAATGAACCTGTGTACCAGTCGCGGCACGTCAAACAGTGTTTGCACTAACGGCCTTGGATAGTTTATATTAGTGTTCTGATGTCTTATTCAAATGAAAATTAGCGTGAACAAGGTCTGAGAAGCCACCGACAGCCGTCTACTGGGGCGAAGCTCCGCAGCTATTGAACAGGAAGAAATTACGCGCTCTAGAGAGGTGGACGCTGCAGAGGGCGTCCTGAGCCAAAACCGGCAGTCATACACAGAAAATCTTAATATACTACGCACATGCAATTACTAGAAGAGAAATATACTAGTTTATTCACGTTGCATATGGTCGGTATTCGAGGTATTGACTGTAAGACAGATTACCTCACATTGCATGCGTACCTTTGTGATCATTATTACACAGGAACATTGCGTGAGGAGAAACAATGAGGCCAAACCCTCCATAACAACCAATTACCGTAGCACTCAACAACCCTTCTATGGGGCCAAATGCTGCACAAGGCGTCGTAACTTCGTTGACATAAAAGATGTGTTCGGCCCGTGAGTTTGAGGAAACTGATGGGATGGGGACTCAAACTATAAGCAATTTGACTGCTGCTAATGTGCAAATATCACAAAAGGGATTTTCTAGTCTTTTGGTAGCTGGCCGGAACCCTCTCGCGAAATCCTCTAAGGGCCTTGCTTCGAAAGATTTCCCCAGAAAGAATTAACGTGCATGGTTGCGACAGACAAGCGAAGAAAGCCATGGAAACTAGCCGGAATTTTATATGCTCCGAGGCATGGGTACCCAGAACGAACAGCAAGCAAGAAGAACGTGATGGGATATACCATAAGCAACACTATATTGTACAGTTATAACCACAGAGGAAAAGCTCAAGCAGAATTAGTCCCAAAGATGACCGAGAAAATAAATAAGGCATGTACTAATTGAACGTCCATGTGAAACTCTGTCTCACAGCTTTAAATGCATGTCTGGAAAAAGCAGAACAGAGATAAACCAAAGCAAAATACATAAACGTTGAAACTCAAAAGTCAACTGGTTGCTTAGAAGGCACAATGGGTTGTGAAGCCGGCTAAAAATGCATCAAAAAGACTAGTTGGCACGGGAAGAAGACCAACTGAATCGTCCGACCTGCAAAATTATGCGCAAAAGGCCACAAATTACGAATGCATTTAGTAACAACATAGCAATCGGTTCGTGTGTCTCATGCAGTAGACTCAACACTTTGCCCTTGAACCAACTGGAACGGAATCCCAAAACAAAAGTCCCAGTGGCAAGGGCAAAAATACACAGGCCTGCATACATGTGATAACGGCGAACCTGACCATAGGCGATCCAACGCTGGACAGGCCATAGTTTCCAGTAAAGCACAACACCAGCCGCCAACTCGACAATCACGTAAATCAGAAGGATCAGTCCCAAAAAGGCATGCCAAGTGGTGAAGTGTGGTTTGCCGTGACGAACCTTGTTACCAAAGACCGCAGCGACACCCAAACATGTCAGGACTCCAGAAAACAGTTGAGTGACCCAGTGCCATCTGAGCTGTAAAATGCACGTTATTGTTATAGGATATAAGTCCGCTCAGCTTACACGCTGTGTCCTTGGAACGTGCTGTATACACTGGAGTTGCCTGTCTAGGATTCGAGCACCCCAAGGCATTAAGCCTAACATTCCAAGCGATACAAAAAGTGGGTGAAAACTGAAAAGATCTGTCGGTGGGAAAGTAATCCAAAAGACAAGGATCAGAGGCAATATGGATAGTAGATCCAAAAACACGGTGATTGTCCGAGTGGACATAAAAGGATGCAGCTACAAAACAAAGAAAACGGAACGTTAGTGACAGTCCATGAATCTGGAAGACAGCGAAAGCTTGACAACTGAATGCTGTGTAGGGTGATCCGAACATCCTGGATGACTACTCAACAACTTTACTGGTTGTGAATGACTAGACTGAATGATCCACCTCTCTGGGCTACCGCTTGCCTAGGTGTAGCGCCCTGATAGCATCCCAGCTCATGTACAACCATCAACTTCACGGGCAAAAATACTAAGTCGTAGCATGGGACCATTATCCTGCTGCATACAGCAGGCAGGCTACCGTTGATGCCTCTTTCCGCTTTTTAGTGTTCCTTCTCCCCATACTAATCCCAATGTGAATATTCTCTAAAGGTCCCACCATGATATTCAGCCGCCTTATTCGCCTTACAGCATGCTTTGCCGCAGTTTCTGTGCGTCCGCCCTTGGTAACAACCCTAAACATCTCAGTCAGTTTTCAAACCCGAAAGCCGGTCTAGTTAGAGGCTTCAATGTTCGCACACCGAAGCAAGAAGGACAACAGGTGACCCTTATTCGTACACTGGATTCCCTCTGCATTGATGAACGCTGTCTATCAGAAACAATTAAATTGATTATCCCCTTGTTCCCTTCGGGGTCCCAGCTGCGCACATCTGATGATGCAGCTGGATATGCTGGGGCGGGTGTTGTACTGAGCGACCGAGCAGAAGCATCTCTACTTGAATGGATAGCGGCTGATAATGGCCTCTGCGCGCTTCGTTTGGCAACGTCTGTAAGAGAACCTCGAGAAAATGAGGTCCATAGTAACCTGTTTATTATGTCTGCTTACACCCAAAACGACTGTAGTCCTGAATCTGCCAAAAGACTCCTATGACGATCTACGTGCCCTTGTACAACGGGCTAACATCCAAGACGTCATTGTGTTTGGTAGTAGCAATAACGCCCAGGTTCGTTCAGCTGTAGCACCCTTTCGGTGCCTAGCTGCAATGCCACCCAAAGGAAGCATGAGGGCTGGGATACTGCGAGGTTGCCCAAGACTAGGTAGGGGAAGTCGAAATGAAAAGACCAGATTCGAAACACAGCTTGCGGTCAGTAAGTTCGCACTCTAACCACTGAGCCATCTCGTCCCAACGCCCCGGTAGGTAGACGAAGCGCTGCTGAGGCTCGATTGGATGGCCGTCTTGGGATGATCACAAGACGCACAGATAATGAAGATCGCCCGCTTCAGACGTGTGTCGATCGCAGATTGTACCTTTGCAGTACCAATTGCCGGAACAGCAGAAGTCGCTTGATAATGTGGTGCCCAACAACGAACCAGCTCCGAATTCAAGTCGACCACGTTATCGTCAGTTACCGGTGGCGAAGGTCAATCACTGCCTGTCATCCTTCTGAAATACCAGCGTGGACTCTGATCATGCACTGTGCGCTTTTCAGGTCAACACAAAACGCGCACACCTTGTTTAGCTACCGAGGAACTAATGCATTCAGAAATCAAACGTAATTATCAGAGGCGTCTCCTCAGAAGCCTGACTGATGGTACGATATTGACCACTTAGAATAGATACTCGCAGCGCCACTCGAAATCGAAACTTTTCTTTGCGGTAAACCGAACCAATCTCATCCAAGCATCGGGTCTCTGACAGGACCTCGGCTTTGCTGGAGGCGCATGGACTGATTTCCTCCAACTGCAACCCCAACTCAACCCGACTCATCATCTGACGCTGAGTAAAACATAGTGTCCTTGCACACCGCGAAGTTTGATGGACTCGAAAAGCCGAATAAATCGACGAGGAGGAAAATCCTGTGGACGTCTACAGGCTGTTCCGCCTGATTCCTCGAACTGATCCTCAGAGGCCTCTTGTCAGCGGAACTATCAGGGACCAGAATGGCTCTCCGATATCCTACAAAGAACTTTTGGACTGTTGGGCACAATACATCGAACAACAATTCCGGTGGCCACTTTCTGCTGTTAACATAGAACCTCTCTCAGCCTCAGAAGTGTGCGAATGTATGTCGCCACTCAATGGGCATCGTGCTACTTGGCCTGACGACCTACCACTACGCTGCTAAAAAATTATGGCAAATTCCACAGTCAGTGACTGCTTAGCCTAATAGGGTCTATCTGGAATAAAATTCACCATGTCATATGGTCCACTCTCACCATACACGAGAAGGGCATTCGCGAGTCTCCTCCGAATGACATCTCGACGCACTTTTCGTCATGCACAGAAAGATGACAGTGCAATGACCAATGCTTTGAGGCGTCAGCATCCACTTGAATTGGATAAGCGGCATCACCATCATCACTGTCAGATGTAAGAACCGCGTACTTGCCCTACAGTGGTTGTAGCTTCCACGGTTTCGTTCACCGATGATTTGGGGAGGTGAAGTAGCTGATAAATTGGTGCGTAAATACAGCACTGTCAGTGGACTGTTAAGTGTGGGATTGGGAAGGAAGCTATGCACCGAAGACAATAGCTTAGATGCACGAGCGCCACTGAGGGTGCGACTGGGCTATATCTGACAATGTCCCTGAACATTCATGTGGCCCGTCTCAGGGTCCCCATTCAGGAAGACGGCAATGACCAGCGCGGCTGAGTTTGCGGGTAATGGCTTTCATACTTCACTGCCAAGTCATTGTTTGACCGCCTCTGGCTCTCTTCCACCCTTCACGTGGTAGTACGAAAAAGTCCCTTCCAGGAAGTCAGCCGACTGGCGTACACAGTAAGTGGTCTAGCCAGCGCAACCCATGCAGTGTAATCAGTCCATTTACCAAGGGTGAGTTATTTCTCCCGAATGCCATTCGATATACTTCAGAATTGCTGATCCGGTGTTCCCACCACATTCGGGCAATAATCCGAAAGCCTTTTGACATCCTCGGCGCGCAGCGGCCAGGTTTATGATAATATGGAGCACACTGCATAATTGTAGACTCGACCCTTTACGCAAAAAGCTGATGTCACGCCTACGACACAGGTAACGCAGGTTCAAACGAGCTGGTCCGACGTCCCCATCCGGATGGAAATATCACCTTTTGGAAGACTACCAGGAGTAATGCAGCCGCCCAGGTAAACGAATTTGTCTACTCCCTCTCCGGAGGCCAGTTGTCCCTAATAACCGAACATCACATCATTTGGACGAACGTGTCACGTGCTGGACACGGACCAAACGAAGGCACGCCTTGATCAATCAGAATGCCATCCAATCCGGATCGAGCATTATCGACTCCACGCTTCTCGCCCCCTCACGGAGATTCTAGCACGACCTTGTGGAACACCCGTGATTACCTTGGAAATACAGTTGTATTAATTTTCTTTGTCTCCATAGAAGGTTCTGTAGAGCCACCGTGCCTTTCGATATACCATAGTGGGCGGAGCAGGAATTCAAGGGACCAATACAAAGTTTTACTACCGTTAATCATACACAACGTTACCTCAATCGTTTCATGCGCGAGCTTCAGGCTAGTGTTTCAGCCCACCCAGTCTTGCAGTGGCAATTTACACATTGCAGGTGTGACGCCCTTGGGAAACCGTGGGACAGAACTATTCAGATTATTTAATATTTTTTGTATTGCCAGATCCAATCAACGCTGTGTCATCTGCGTACTGGATATCTGAAGCGAACGCCCGAGAAACACTCATAGAGCCTTTGCTCCACAAAGGCATGGTCCCTTCAGATCGGGGCACAGCCATTGTTGGTTGATGGAAAGTGTCGCTGTTTCATAATCTGTCGAATGTGAAGATATGATCGATGCATCCTCTTGCAGGACGGAACCCAACTTAATTTCAAGGATCTCGCTGCCTGTGTTCAGTCGACATTCGTTGGATAAGACCAGAGAGCACCTTCGAGGCTACAGCTAGCAGGCTGATGCCATTGTGGTTTTCACACCGCATACCCTTTTTGAAGCCAACAATAGCTGTCGACATGCCCCGTTCCGTGGGTACCATCTTTTGGTTCCATATAGTACCAGTAAACTTTGTCAGATGGGTCATCAGGGATTCCCCGCCTTCTTTGAAGAGGGCTGGAGTCAGACCGGGTCCTGGTGCCTACTCACGCTTCAGTAGGGCTATTTTGTACCTCATTTTTTCTTTCGAACTGCTGTCATGACTTACATTTCGTTCCCCCGCATGCATTATCTCCACAGGTTGTGTTGCAGGAGGCCAGCTGAACTGCTCTTCGAAGTGTTCGGCCCGTCTTTCCATTCGACGTTTTTACGAGTGAATTAATGAGCCGTTTTTTCACTTGTCGCTTCGCTGACCATTGCTTTCCTAGGGCCAGTCGATCGTATCAGTTGATATAGGGCACGGCCGTTTCCCGCAGCAAAGGTCTTCTTCATCTTCCGAGCTTTCGGTGTCCACCAGAGTTTTCGGTCTTTCCTGGGGCTCTTCACTATTTGGCATTTGAGGGATTTGCGTGCGTCGTCGAACTTGTTGTCTGCCGGTACGAATTCTTGACATCAATCATGGATAGCAAACCCGATGTCATCCAGCGGTCTTGTGGTCAAATTGGAGAAGTCGAACAGACAGCAATGAACCCCACTTACATAGCTCCTTTCATGCCTTGCCACGCTTCATCAACATGCTCACCACTACCATAGTATTGTTTTACAGTGGAGGGATGTGAAGCTGGCTCAGATGGATACTGCTGGGCCGTGGAAGGTTTTCGAAGACATTGGATTGGCGCGTTTCTTACCGGCTTGCGAACCTTAAGGAAAGCGAGCTGTCGAGGGTTCACGCACCATGGCGTGATCAGAAACCAGTGGTGTCCCAGAAGGAACGATAGTCTTGAATTGTGGCTCTCCAACGAGGGCTGGTGGCCACGTGGGTCTATGGTCGATTTGCGGTTGGTGGCCCCCTAGTTACGTGATGTGTACGTTTGTGTTGAAATTTCGTACTTGCCAAAAACAGTTCATGGTCAGCACACAACTGAGGGAGTCTATCTCCGTTGTCTGTGCGGTGAGCATCTACTCCGTATCGAGTGCCAAAATGTGATTCCAAGGAGCTAATACGACCTACTTGAGCATTCATATCGCCTGCAAGGATAACGATTTAAGTACTTTTTGCTTAAAGAATGCGTCTGGATAGCTCTTGATGGGGGGTAACCCTTTCAGCATCGGGGCATAAGCCGACACTACAAACGAGCATCTCTCTTTGTGCCAACAGGTATAGAGGTTCATCGAACTGGATAACCGGACGGCGCAAAGATGACTGTGAACTGTGATCCAATCCAGCAAATCGCGTTCAACCATAAGGCTGAGCGCAACTCCCGCGCCATATATTCCAAGAGTCATTGCTTCTGGGCCCTCGGACACCCGTAGGGAGAAATATGAAAGAGCTGAGTTCATCCTTCCGTTCCGAGATGCATAGCCACACTCGGGTTCTGTATATAGAGACACAGCGCACATCAATTCTAATGGAGTCTAAATCTCGGCAAGTATTTCCTGTTTGCCAATTTGACGTGGAATGCGGAAGGTAAAAGCCCGTATATAGAACGGATCCGATGGGTTTATGAGGAGCGTATGGCTCTTCGGTCAGAAAACTGACAATCAAATGGCGCGGCAACGTTTTCTCGTGTGATGGGAGGGGTTTGGGGAAGGACATCGTTGGTTCTACTCCTCCAGATGATCTAGAATCTGCTCACCTATCACGCATTGTTTGCTGCGGTTATTACGGATGTTATAGGTGTGTCTTTCATGGAGTCCGGCTTGAAAGAAAAATGGCTTTTCCACGACTGGTCAACAGTTTGCGGACAGACGCCGACTTCCCTTCCAGATATAATGCCAGACATCATATCGGTGTCTCTCCATTTGAGTGGCTATCAATAGACACGATCGGGTCATTCCCCCTTGATTACGTGCACTTGGTATGCTTAGGA